CATACTTGTCAAGAAAATATGACTTAAGTCTACGTTTAAAAACTGAGATACTTGAAGCATTTGTTATGGTAGTATCAAGTGAATTCCAGAACCTGGGGCCAGTGGACATTAGTGTATTCAAAGTGAAGGTTGTCCTTGCATATGGTAAATGGAGAGCAGAAGCCTGTCTAGTATTATAGCTGTGAATTTGGTTATTTCTTCTAAAGATTTGAGCAAGGGCAGGAGGGAGGTCTCCAGAGTGAATGCTAAACATGAGCATTCCAAGTTGCATTGAATATAGATCTTCTAGTTTTAGAATACTGTTTTCATAATAAAGTAGATTTGTATGTGCACGATAATTTGCTTTACAAATTATTCTAATAACCCGCTTCTGCACAACAAAAAGCCTGTGGATTTGAGTTTTGGATGATTTGCCCCATGCCAACATACCATAATTGATATATGATAAAATAAGAGTAGAGTACAAAATGAACAATACCTCTCGAGGTAAACATGATCTCAACTTATAAATAACACCAGTATTTTTTGACACCACTTTACTTAATTTGTCCACATGAGTTTTCCAATTCAGTTTCTCGTCTATGTATATTCCAAGAAATTTCGTTGAAGTTACTCTCTCAATTGGGTTATTATTGAATGCCACTTCGCCTGGCAAAATATTAACTGAATTACTGAACAGTATATAATTAGTTTTCTGAAGATTCAAGGATAACTTATTAGCATTAATCCACTTCATTACTTTTCGAAACTCTTCATTAACAGTTTTCAACAATGTTTGTGGACATCTATGAGAAAAAAATACACTTGAGTCATCAGCAAAAAATATGAATGATAATACACTTGATGAGCGTTGAAAATCATTAATATACAAAATGAATAAAAGTGGTCCCAAAATGGATCCCTGGGGAACACCACATGTTACTTTTTGGGGACTAGAGTCAATTCCATTTAAGGACACATATTGCTTTCTTTCAGTTAGATAACTTCTAAACCAATCCAAGGCGACTCCCCTGACACCATAATGACATAATTTACTTAAGAGAATTTCATGGTCTACAGTATCAAAGGCCTTGGAAAAGTCTAAAAATGTACCAATGGTGTGTAAGCGACTATCTAAGGCAGAAGCAAGTTTATCTATAAGGTGTAAGATTGCATGTGTTGTTGTATGCTTCTCCCGAAAACCAAACTGATAATTACTGAAGACACATGTTTTGTTTAAAAATGTTATAGTTCTTACATAAATAATTTTTTCCAGAATTTTTGAAAAACAGGTTAACAAAGAAATCGGACGATAATTTGTCAGTAATTGAGAGTCACCTTTTTTAAAAATTGGTACAACTTTTGCGATCTTCATGTTTATCGGTACAACTCCGCTTGACATAGACAAATTAAAAATATGAACTAGTGGTTGAAGGATACCGACAATAACTTGCTTAATAAGTTCGTTCCCAATATGATCATACCCAGGACTTTTCTTGTTCTTGAGGGCTCTAACAATACCAAGCAATTCTTCTTCATTTGTGGGCACCAGAAATAAACTTTGCATGTTAGGTTCTACTAAGTAATCATGAAAATCAGTTTGACTGTTAGGAATATTTTTTTTCAGATTCGGACCAATATTACAAAAATATTCATTAAACTTTTCCACTATAATATTTTTATCTTCAACCATTTGGTCATCTATATTCATTTGTATTATACTTGTTACTTTAGATGCTTTTTGAAATACATTTCTTATCACCTTCCACGTGCCCTTGATATTATTGTAAGTTGCTTTAAACTGTGCTAAATAGTATTGTTTTTTGGCTGCACGCAGCACAGAAGTCAGAGTATTTCTGTAAACGGAATATTTCCTTTTTAGAGCTACCGTCCCTGCTTTCTTATACTTATAAAACAGCTCATTTTTCTTATTTATTGATTTCAGCATAGCATTGGTGACCCACGGCATACGTGGAGTTCTTCTACGGTTGTTTTTACTCTTTACTACTGGAATATTAGCATCATACAACAATAAAAACCTATTCATGAAAATATCGAAGGCACTCTCATCACACTGATTCAAAAGAACATCACTCCAGTTTGTCGCCAATAACGCCTCTCTAAACTGATTAATATTTTCTGGGGTGTTTCTTCTAACATAAATGTTCTTATGGGTGACTACAAGTTTTTTTCCCAAAGGAATTACAGTATACACAGGAAAATGGTCAGACAAGTCCGACACAACAATAGTAGATAAGGGAAAAGGTTGTAAGTTACTAAAGATATTGTCAATTAGAGTAGCAGAGGATTCAGTTACTCTTGTTGGTTTTGTTATCAAGGGCAACAAAGAAAACGACAACATCAAATTCAGGAAATCATCAACATGAGCATCAACATTGTGCTGTAAAAGGTTTATATTATAATCTCCAACCAAAAATAAGGATTTACCGTTAAGTGACTGGCTTTCCAAAACTCTCTGCATTTCGTCCAAAAAAATGTTCAAAATACCATTGGGAGGTCTGTACACGACTCCAATTACGATATTATTTTTACCAGAAATAAAGACTTCAACAAATAAAGCTTCTAGATTTTCAGTCATAACATTAAGCTCGTGACATACTCGATAATCGAGCCCAGACGGAACATAAAGGGCAACACCACCACCACGTCTGTCTACTCTACTATTGCTTAACAAGTTATAACCTGGAATAACAAACAAATTTGCATCATTTTCATTGGTGAACCAAGTTTCAGTGACACCAATGGCAGTTAAGCCTGAGCTGATTTTGTTCACAAATGATGTCACATGTTCAAAATTTCTACTCATGCTGCGGATATTAAAATGAAGAAGGGAAAGCTCTTTATCTGTGGCATTTTTAACTGACTCAAAGAACTGTTGTTCTGTAGAATAATTACATCTTAAAGAAATATTTTCAATGCTGTCACTGATATCACTCAAGCTAGCTTCAAGAAAATTGCAAATATTATGGTCATCTATTTGAGCCATGATCGGTCAAGATAGGTGACAGGATAAACACGAGTACTGATAACATAGACATAAGGAAACGGCTAGCTAACTTAAATACAACTAGAAAGATAAACACTTGAGACATATAGAATATGAGACAGCAAGTTGGAGAGGAAAAAGGAAGGTATAAACAGGGAAAGGAAGACAAAAAAGAACAGAATGGAAAACATATATATAACTGCGCACAGGATACATTGCGCAGATAAGTAAAAAGACAATTCATATGAAGAAAAAAACAAAACAACAACAGTACCAATAGTGTAGTAAATAAAAAGAGATGTTTTAAATATCATGTGGCAAGAGCTATCAAGTTATTTATAGACAAAGGTTGAATTTAGAGCCTGGCCAAGTCCGCTTCAGAAAAGATGGTTTTCTTCATTTCTTTGCCATCGGTTGCTGGCAACAAGGCGATGACTCGACCATCCCGTGTCCAAGCAGCTTTCACCCGTTGATGGTCACGGGTCATCTTGAGGAGCTTGGCGTTATCGCGCGTGAGGTCCTCCTGGATGGATTTTCTCGTACCCGCGAGCTTGCGTCGACTCCCGAGGACCTCGTTCCTCTTCTTGAACGACAGGAACTTGACAATTATGGTGCTTGGACCCTTTGGACCAGGCTTAATAGCGGAATTCACCCGTTGAATATGGTCTATGTCCCCCTTCTGGAGGTGAACGCCAAGGGAGGTGTTCACCAGATCAACTATTACATCCTCTGAAGGCACCCCTTCAACCTCGGGGATACCAAAAAATCTGAGAGAGTTTCTCCTACTGTATTGCTCTTGGGAGTTCACATCCCTTCTCAGCAGACTGAATCGTTGACCCGTGCCATCATGGCTTTCCTTCAGCAGCTTAATTTCTTTTCTATTTCTTTCTTCAGAAAGCTCAAGGTCAAGGATCCTTGCCTCCTGCCTTCCTATTGACTCCTCGAGCTTTCTCTCCCTCTCGGTGGAAGCATCCTGAAGATGTAGAATCATGGCCGCTTGCTCATCAATCTGTTTTTGAAATCTAGCTAGACTTGAGTCAACATGTGCTGAGACTAGCTGCATAAATTTCTCATCATGAAGTATATCGGTCATGACTGCCTGAATGAGAGAGGCAGTTTCCTTCTTCTCCCTAGCCGATCTTGTTTTGTCAGCCATAGTTGTAACAGATTGATGGTAGAAGTAGAAGTAGAGGTGAAGTAGAGGTTGAAGTATAAATACAATAACTGCATACACTGCATATATTTTCGCTTTGAGATTTCCCTTTGAAGGTGCCCTTTTTTGTTGGTGGCATTGGTGCCCCCCACTTTGGAAGTCGCTCCGCCGCCACTGCCCCCCCCCCCCCCATTGACTGAGCCCAAGCTACGGCACTGAGTATGGGCGTCAGGCAGTGAACGCAGGGGGGGGGGGGGCACGTCTTTCTTTTGCTCTTTTTTACATTTCATTCATCATCTTCCCTATCCTTTCACTCTCTTTTTGATGTTCACTCGTTTACTCTTTTGTCATCATTATTTTGCAATTGATTAACTAATTAGTTTATTGATTTATAATTGTTTTCATTATTATTTCATTCATTTATTAATTTATTAATGTTTGTATTTATTCATTTAACTTGTTATGAATATATTAATTAACTAATTAATTAATTAATTAATGTATTACTATTATTTAAAAAATAATTTTATGAGGGGGGGGGGAGGGGCCGGGGGGAGGGGGGGGGGGGGGGAGTTTCATCTATTCTACCAATGGCAAACACCACTAGTATAATTATGCACCTACCCTGTTAATAGCTCTCTAACTAAATTTTGAGGAATCTACATAATACAGCTTATTCTATTGAATAAAAGCAGATTGAATGAAGAAAGAAGGGGAAGAAAATGTTTATTGATTAGACGAGTCAATTATTGATTAGTACACCTCCAGTGCGTAACGTAGTACATGACAGGGGCGACGATCATACGCACTTCTTCTGTGCTATATTTTGGTACTGGGGTACGTTTCTACGGTGAACCTTCCCATCATTCCCTGATCCACTTCCGTGTGAGTATCTTTCACCGACGACAACTCTACTGCGCGACGAAACACAGAAAAATCCGTATGGAAAATCTGAAAATGACTGGAAATTCTACATTATAAGAGTGTTATTAGAGACAAAATTGGCGTGGACAAGTTAAAGGAGCTATCAGCCATCATGTCGAGCGCTGGAAGCCAAGGACAGAAGCCTGAGTATTTAGTTGGAGGGGGCAAATACAAACTTGTACGGAAGATCGGCAGCGGATCATTCGGCGATATTTATTTAGGAATCAACGTTGGCAATGGCGAAGTATGTTTTTTTATGTGTGTTGAAATTACTAAGGACATGTCAATATGTTAAATGCACGAAAGCTACGCATAACTTCACATTCATTGATTTTGTTTCTATTTTTTGTACAGATAATTGAATGGGAAACTACAGTCATAAAATTGCAAAAGATAAACTGTGACAACTGTCAAGTGTTGCTGTCTCACTCAGTTCAAATCTGATGTGGCTGACATAAATTTAAAAACAAAATATTTTTGAGTCTGAGACTGAGTTGAGTCTGCATCTGACTTGTCGATTGTCTTGAATATGAATTGAATGAGTCTTCTTGACTCAAGTCAAGTTGTCAATAAACATGATGAATATTAGTTAAGGTCTTGGGGACATTGGCATTGGTGGCATAATTCAAAAGCTATTTTGTTGCTGCATATTTACAGTGCAATTAACAAATAACAATTCAAGGAATTTTTAAAATGCTTGTCATGCAAGAAGCATTTGAACCAGGGCAGCGTCTCACAAAACCGTCATAAGTACATGTACAAGTTTACTGATATCCCACTGGAATGCAGGGCTTAAATTAATCAAAGGCCACCAAGGCCATGGCCTTGGATGCTCCTTTGATTGGCCTTGGAGATTTGTTGTGCCCTTTCCAATAGACCAGTTCACGGTTAGCACATTACTGCAATGACCCCGAATATCCACAGATCTTCAAAACATGAAGAGGTCCCACTTTGTACATTTTGAAATAATCACTCCTACAGCGATGGGGGTGCTACATAAATAGCCTTTGTTTCCCCTTTTCAAAGAATACTTCCACCTGTGTATCATGGAGTGCATAAATGAATAATGATTACATAACTTTCATAAGCACGTATCCAGTATTTCGTCTCCGTGTATTTCACAATTTGTTCTGCAATGACCTTTATCTGCTCATGCTCAGACTGCAACCGTGAACTGGCTTATTCTTCCTACAGTTTTGTGCTGTAATATAGGAATGTGCCCTACAGAAAAGTGGCCTTGCCCTAAAAATATTGAAATTTAAGGCCTGGAAATGTGTGCATTATTTATTAAGTTTAACACGCCTTTCCATGGGATGTCAGTGAACTTGTACTTAGACCTATGACGGTTTCATGAAACGCTGCCCAGCTGAACTTAAATTCAAGATGAGGTCAAATTTGCTAATGTCAAATGACGTAAAGTCATAAGGTCTTTGGAATCTTTGGAATTTGGGGCAATGCAAACCTCAAATTAAAATTCACAAATGATTATGAAATTATGATTCTGATGTTTACAACAAATATGAATTATGATCATTGATCAATGTCAATGAAGGTCGAACTCGAAGTACTAATGACTGTACATGTAGCTTACTTTAATACTAGATTTCAAATTGGTTTCTTCTAATGAGTCCTGTAATTATTAGGAGAATCTTCACTCTACAGACATTTGTTTAGTCAGGTATGCTGACATTGGGATCAGTTGGTCTAAAAAGAATAATTTTTGTATTATTGAAAATGTTATAAGGTTTTGTTCCTTTACTTTAGACTTCCTTATTTTGTTTGTTTTTGTCTTTCTGTTTCATTTGTTTTTCTTTTAGGTCTTTCTATTTCTATTTCATTTGTTTTTCTTTTAAGTCTTTCTATTTCTACTCCATGTATTACCTTTTATTTGTGTTGTGTGATGATAATGAGGATCCAGGCTGTGAATGTAAATACAATGTACTGTATGTATCGGTACCTCCGAATATTGCAAGCTTGGTTATTTTCAAAGCTGAGATTCTCCTTTTCTTCTTCCTTCTGTCTTCTTGTATTTTTATATATTCCTCCAACTACAGTATTTGCCACATGTTTACTTTAAGTTGTCCTTGATACTTTTCATTTTTTTTTAAATACATGTACAGTACATGCATACAAAATGTTGTTTTTCTACTGTTATTTTATAGCTGTCTTTTATATAGACGTCTAGAGTGTAATATTGCTTTATTTTCATTTTTTGAACTGCTCACCATTGCAATTTTGTAACCTGATGACATCTAAGTTTGTTTTGATTATTATTTTTTTTCCACAGGAAATTGCAGTCAAAATGGAGTCAGCGAAGGCGAGACATCCACAGCTCAACTATGAAGGAAAAGTTTATAGGATATTACAGGGTGGTGTTGGTATACCAAAGATTAGGTTAGTTTCTTGTTTTCTTCTGTTTGACTTTGACACATTTTAAAATTTAATTGGGGCCAAGTGAAATTGATTCCTTTTTTCTCACTCTGTTGTATTGAACATGGAGAGTAGGTTTTCAGTCAAATTCATTGTTAATTGAATTTTGACACTTACATGTACAGTGTATAAATCCTTGATTTTCTCAGATTCGTCTTTATTGCATGTCTATGAAAGCAAAAGATATTAAATAATGAACAAAAATGAGATACCGGAAGAAAAAAAAGGAAGTAGGGACAAGAAAGTATGGACATTTAAATTTTTTTGGAGGTTGTTCACATACATGTAAGCGTGTTGTACCTTTTCATTGCAATGAAAATGACAATGGGGAGTTGTTTCATATGCTAGTGATTACGTCATAGATATTTCAGTCATTTGAAAGTAAAAGTAGGAAGTGCGTGTCATACAGGGAAACTTATTGTTGAGTTTATGTCATTGGCAATGTATAGCAAAACGGCCAAAACCTGTAAACAGAAAGTGTTGCGATTGAAGTACAAAGTTAATAAGTAAAGGATGTAGCAAATGTTGTTACGGTAGCCGACTGAAACACATTCAAGGCGGGGGAAGCAGGAAAGTGCTTGCTGGGTAATAATGCTGTTTGTTTGGAACCCAGAATTGGCCAGAAACATTTTTACATTCCAGTCATGTACAGTGTACACCACATTGCACTGTCTTATAGAATTAAACAATTCTGTAGTTATGCTATTCCTATTGAATATCAGCATAAATGTGTATTCAAGTACTGTAGTTTTGATAAGTGTTATACGAGTTAGACTGCCCAGGCTTTAGTTTTGCAAGAGTGTTGTGTACTTCTTATGCAAAAAGCACTATATACATGTACATGTACATGTAGTCGAAAAATGTATGAGAGCATTGAACGATTTATCTGACAGAGCTGTACAAACAAATATATAAAAATTGAAATTGTTAGGAAAGTTCACATATTTAGTAGGATATTCAAAAGAATAATCTCTCGTTAACGTAGCTCTAGGTTAAAAAAAAGAAGATTTAATCTCATTGCAGTTGTCATTGATTTTTCCTTTTCTTTTTTTTTCTCTCAGGTGGTATGGGTCAGAAAAAGACTACAATGTATTAGTGATGGAGCTTCTAGGGCCTAGCTTGGAGGATTTATTCAACTTTTGTGATCGCCAGTTCTCAATGAAAACTGTATTGATGCTTGCAGATCAGGTAATTTCACTTTTTTGTAAAGCTTTTCCTATAATTGCTGTTCTATTTTATGGCAAGGATGTACCTGTACCTTACATGAAAAAGGTTGAAGAGTGCTCTTTAATTTTTTTTTGAACATGCATGATGTGTATGTAACTGCAGTGACAAAAATATGAGAGTGGAGGTAAATTTGAGAGAAATTCAGTTCAGAAAAGCTCAAAAATAGATGTGAGAACATTTTCGGAAGAGCTCTGGTAAAAAGAAGATAATGAATTCATATGTTTTGCCACAAAGGAAATTTCATATTACCGGTAATTTAATTTATATATAATATAATGATAATCAATTCCCGCAAAATTAAACAAGACTTTAAACAAGAGGAAAAGAACAGAAAAAGGTATCTTTAAGATACAAATACATGTACAATGTATCTATTTGTTTAATGGCTGGTGTTAAATATACATGTACTGTAGTAGTGTCTCCTCTCGCCGCATTTGGATTGGTTAGTGGAAAGACAATTTATCCCTTTACTCCATTCTACCTTGCTGTGATTACAACATGTTAGGCCAAGCAAAATTTGTTCTTAGATTTAGTTCCAGTTGTATTGAAAATTAGGAAGAGGGAGTCCTCTGTCGTGTGATATTTTATATTTTTCCCAAACATACAGGTGATTTTCAACACAATATTTTTGATTATAACTTGATTTGTACTAGAGCTGAGTCATTACATTATTTTTTAAAACCATTAACTGTTTAAAATAATCAGTGATTTTTTTTAAACGTTAACAAAATAAAGGGGTCCTAAAATTCTTTTATTCATTCAAAACAAGAATATCAAATAACAAAAAATAGGAGACAAGGCGGTGTCACACAGAAAAATCCCTTCAAAAATCCCTTCAAAAATCCTTCAAGGGAGAATGTTCTTGCTTCGTTAGAGGATTTGATTTTTCTCTTACATGTACAATATAACTACTTTACCTGATTGTTTTAATAATTATTTTATTTTCAATAGAGATATAAATCAATATAGTACTAGAAATTCACACAAACTTTATGTTCCTTCATTTCGCTATAATTTGTCAAGAACAGTAATAAGATATAAAGGATCCATTATTTGGAATAACTTACCAGATTCTCTCAAAGCATGCCCAACATTGTCTAGTTTTAAGCGTAATTTTAAACACAAACAAATATCAAGTTACAATATACTTTTTTAGCTTTTATTAATTCTGCCTGTCCTTGTATGTGTGTTTATATGTCTTAGTTAATGTAATGTCTATATTGTCAATATTTTGCTTTTAATTACTGAAGATTTTACTTTTGGGGTTGTAGAAAAAGGGGACCAGCCTAGATAGGTCAATGGCCTTTGCTGGTCCCTCACATCCCTACTCCACCCATTAATCAATTTTAGTGTTACTGTTGTTGTTTTATTTGTTCTTATTATATTTTATATATATATTGCATTTTGTATAATTGTATTTTTAATGTTATAATGATGTTTTTATTGGATGTGAAATAAAATGAACTTGAACTTGAACTTAATGGGATAATTGATGACAGACAGCAATTAAGAGGATAACTAAAATCTGGATAACTAAAATCCGGATTTTTGGACTCTACAATGGAGTCATAGGCATGTAACATACAATGTATGACATACTGTCTGGGTCAAAAGTGGGGTAGGCACATGAAACAAGAAAATCAATCAAGATTGGTTATGGATGGATTATGAAGGTATTAAATATGGACCCATTCGGAAAGGCAAATTTCTTTTCAGTTGATCAAATATTTACATTCGGTTTAATACCTGAAGTTGATACAACATGTGATGTTTTATTTTTCTCTGAGTATGGATGGATGATATTGAGAATTTACCTTTCAAGTTTCAAGTTTATTTTGTTTCACATTTCACAAAAAATAATTGACATAATTGACAAAATTAGAACATAATATGAAATATACTAAAAGTATCACATTATATAATTAACTAGCAGGACCCGCGGAAATCCGCGGGATTCTAGAGGGGGGCGGGGGGTGTAAATAGATATATAGAGAGTGTTTAAATTAAAACCACCAAGAACTTTATTTGCCATTCAGGCCATTAAATAAAATATACATGTTTAGCGTCCACGCCCGCTTCCTTTTTGGGGGCCGCCTCCTATTTATTTATTTTTTTGAAATTTTTTTAATTTTTTTTTTTTTTTTTTTTTTTTTTTTTAAAGAAAATAAAACAGTGTCCTGTCCGTTTCCTTTTTGGGGGCCGCCTCCTATTTTTTTATTTTTTTGAAATTTTTGAAATTTTTTTTTTTTTTTTTTAATTTTTTTTTTTTTTTTTTTTTTTTTAGTTTTTGAAAGAAAAAAAAAAAAAAAAAAAAGCTGCTAAAATTATTTCTGATATTAAAAAAGAAAAAAAAAAAAATTGTCGGCCGCCATCTTGAAAAAAAGCCCGAATGTCAGGGAAAATGTATGGAGCGGCCATTTTGAAAGAAGAAAAAAAAAAAAGGGCCTCCTCATTCCCATTTTTCGAAAAAAACAGGACGCTAAACATGTTTTTTTTTAAATTTGGCCTTATATAAAAATTTAAAAAACGATCCAACTGTACCGGTAGTTATTCTTCAAGCCACTGGAACTGCGTAGAGTTCCGTAGTGTGGCGTACCGACTACGCAGAAATTAGGCTACGTATTAATGAGAAAATAGTCCCTGCGTAGGTTATGCGTAGGCTGGCGTACAGGTTTGCTTATGGTTGCTTACTGTGTGGAAAGCTTTTACTGCTTTGTCGATCTGGCGTAGGGTAGCATACTGTTGCGTAGGCATGTAGCGTAGTGTTGCGTATGTAAAAAGGCGTACTTTCTACGTCAAGTTTCTACGCCGAAAGTACGCGAAAAAAATTAAACATGTTGAATTGTTTTCGTTCATCTTGCGTACCCAGTTCCGTCCCTCAGCATATAGTAATGTAGGCCAGCGTAGTTGGTACGCAACACTATGCAACTCTCGTATTGACCCCACGCCAATTAGTGACCCGCAAGTGTCACAAATAAAGTATTAAAAATATGCTCATCTGACCCTAATTAAACGCCTAAAACCCCCGAGCTTTCGGGGGTTTATGGACCCTTGAAACCCGTGGACCCCACGCCTATACACTCAACTCGCTGCAATCTGATCTCTCCCCCCCCCCCACCAACTTTGAAGAACGTAACCCCTGAGCTTTTTGGGGTTTATGGCCCCTTGAAACCCGGGGACCCCACGCCTATATTATATATACACTCAACTCAGGACCCGCGGAAATCGCGGGATTCTAGAGGGGGGGGGGGGGCGCAGGCAGAAAATTAAGATTTTCATTTCGGGGGCTCTATTTCAAATTTTTGGAAAAATTTTCGTGGGCTACTTTTTTCAACTTTCGGGGGCTCTTTTTTCTGGGGCTACTTTTTCATTAATTCATCAAAGGATATAGGCCTTCACTTTGTTGAGATTTGTTTAGAAGGCTCAGGTTTCAGGCTACCTACTTCATAATTGCCTATTTAAAAAAAAAAAAAAAATTCTAGTTCAATAACTAAGTTTTCATGCATTGATTTGATGCAAGAACTGTAACATAATAGACCCTAGATTGTGATTATTTCTGACCATGAATTTCGATAATCATTCTTCAAAGTAAAATTTTCACAAGAAAATCAGGTAGTCGTTTAAAAACGTAGACATGAGTAATACTTTTACTAATTCTAAGCTCAGGTTTCGTAAATCTATTCACGAAACTCTCTTCGACTCGAGCTCAGCTCAGCTTAACTCACACACACTACAGCGTAACTCCATAGCTCGAACACCGGCGCCGCAGGCGTCGGACGCCTGCGGTGCTCGGTGCCGGTGTTGGAGCTTCCTGCAAGCTCGTCTCAACTCACACACACTGAACAGAAGCCCTGCACTGTATGAAGGCAGCTTGCGACTAAACTGTCAGTCCAATGATTTTCTTGTGAAAACTTTCCTTTAGAAAATGATAATAAAAATTTAGTATAGGTCTAGACTATATGGCCGTAGTAATCACAAAATAAGCTTTGATTTCATACCTCCATTCACGAAAACTATATCAAAATCGCGGCAATCATGATGGAAATAGTTCTCTAAGTTTGGACGTGGACGGGATCGAAGCTTCGTGTGTATCTCTGTGGCTTGTGCAGCTACTACAAAGGATATCCTATAGAAAGATGCTTTACTCGGGTAAGCCCGATCGTGTGCATCGTGCATTTAATACGCAACTTAATGTGAGTTGCTCGTCGTCTGTCGTGTGTCTACGGATGCAATGTTGAATATCCATGAGGTATCTCTGTCGTCACGCATATCCTGCATTATGCATGTCGCGTCTGTTTTCGCCCTGGACGTCGACACGGAGGAGGACCTCGGGCGGAGTATAGCCAATTCGCTAGAGTAGACTCTCCCGCGGACGACGGCACCGGTCACCGGTACCCCGAGGGCAGGGTTCAGGAGGAGATAGCCGCACCAACTTGGGTCGGCGATCTCATTAAAAAACAATAGAATACAAAGGCCGGCGGAGACGTCATGCCCCCCCGCGGAGCCTTAGCGTATTACTATTATAGATTCTTTGTAAAGACGTCAAAATTAATTGTATTGAATAGTAGGTTATACAGGGTGAAATGAGAATTTACCTTTAACCAAGGACTGTGAGAAAATTAATGAATTATGAATACACTCAAGTGCACTATAATGCAAGGGTCTCTCTCACATTCAGTTTCGGAAGGGTTTTGATATTCAACCTGTTTGTTTACGATCAATCTTATCTGTCTGCCATTTTGTCTCTCTGTGTGTAGGCACAGCAGCTACATGTACACGTATGCCACTTAACTTGGTGTATGTACAGTATGTTCTTGTGCATACTTGTATGTCTACTCTCCATGTAACACTGCAATGACTGCATGGTACATGATTTCTACATAATATTGTTATGCCATTGAATACCGGTATGCAAATTTGAAATGGATATGTTTCAAAACAAAAATTCTTTAAGATTCATC